GACCTCAGTGCATGGATGTCCTATATTATTCAGTTATCCTTCTTCCACCTCACACTTAACTCACCGTTTTACTTCAAATACGCGCTTATTATCTACACACACAAACATATAACATACACGCCTATTCAAAACACACATTTCAAAATGCCAAACATGTTCTAACTTGTCAGACAAACCCACAAAACATACCACAAGCCCAACTTCAAAACATGAATCCAAACCTAACATGGCACCTCGTTGAGAGGGGGGGGGGGGGGGTAGAGGGGTGAGACTAACCAGTTGCTGCCAAAACGAATTAATTTTGGTCACCTTTACTACTACTGGGACCTGTATGTGGTGAGGGAGGGAGGGGGCAGGGGAGGGAACATGTGAGTGATGAGGGAGAGAGGGAGGGGGCAGGGGAGGGAACATGTGAGTGGTGAGGGAGAGAGGGAGGGGGCAGGGGAGGGAACATGTGTGGAGAGAGAGGGAGGGGGCAGGGGAGGGAACATGTGTGGAGAGAGAGAGGGAGGGGGCAGGGGAGGGAACATGTGAGTGGTGAGGGAGGGAGGGGTCAGGGGAGGGAACATGTGTGTGGTGAGGGAGGGAGGGGGCAGGGGAGGGAACATGTGAGGAGAGAGAGAGAGGGAACATGTGTGTGGTGAGGGAGGGAGGGGGACAGGGGAGGGAACATGTGTGTGGTGAGGGAGGGAGGGGGCAGGGGAGGGAACATGTGTAGGGAGAGAGGGAGGGGTCAGGGGAGGGAACATGTGTAGGGAGAGAGGGAGGGGTCAGGGAAGGGAACATGTGTGGAGAGGGAGGGAGGGGTCAGGGGAGGGAACCGTTCAGGGAATTATCAAGGTGCGGGGAATACCATTGAGCACTCTGTTGTTTGAAGACATGTGTTTGTGCTCGTGCTCGCCTCTGACTGAACTTATGTAAACATTCTCTCCTAGATGTACCCTTCTAGATGCTCCTTATTCACCTAGATGTAGTCTCTTAGATGTTCCTTATTCACCTAGATGTACTCACCTAGATGCTCCTTATTCACCTAGATGTAGTCGCCTAGATGTTCCTTATTCACCTAGATGTACTCACCTAGATGTTCCTTATTCACCTAGATGTAGTCGCCTAGATGTTCCTTATTCACCTAGATGTACTCACCTAGATGTTCCTTATTCACCTAGATGTAGTCGCCTAGATGTTCCTTATTCACCTAGATGTACTCACCTAGATGTTCCTTATTCACCTAGATGTAGTCGCCTAGATGTTCCTTATTCACCTAGATGTACTCACCTAGATGTTCCTTATTCACCTAGATGTAGTCGCCTAGATGTTCCTTATTCACCTAGATGTACCCACCTAGATGTTCCTTATTCACCTAGATGTACTCACCAAGATGTCCTCACCTAAATATATGCCCCTAGATGTTCCTTACTCACCAAGATGTACTCACCAAGATGTACTCACCTAGATGTACACCCCTAGATGTTCCTTAGTCACCCTTAGATCCCAGGCGCCGGCGAGAAACATTGGGCAGAGTTTCTTTCACCCTATGCCTCTGTTACCTAGCAGTAAAATAGGTACCTGGGTGTTAGTCAGCTGTCACGGGCTGCTTCCTGGGGGCGGAGGCCTGGTCGAGGACCGGGCCGCGGGGACACTAAAAAGCCCCGAAATCATCTCAAGATAACCTCAAGATAACCTAAGCAGTAAGGTGCGTAGTAAGGGGAGACATGATCACTACCTACAAAATTCTCAGAGGAATTGACAGGGGTAAATAAATATTAACTGTTTAACACGGAGGGTACATGAACAAGGGGACACAGGTGGAAACTGTTTACCCAAATGAGCCACAAGGACGTTAGAAAGAATTTTTTCAGTGTCAGAGTAGTTAGTAAATAGAATGCATTAGGCAGTGATGTGGTGGAGGCTGACTCCATACACAGTTTCAAATGTAGATATGATAGAGCCCAGTAGGCTCTAGAATCTGTAGATCAGGTCATTGACAGTTGAGAGGCGGGACCAAAGAGCCAGAGCTCAACCCCCGCAAGCACAATTAGGTGAGTACCTAGATGTTCCTTACTCTCCTAGATGTACTCACCTACATGTATTTACCTAGATGTACCCATCTAGATGTACACACCTAGATGTACATGATACACAAGGTATCATCTGGGAGGTGAAATCCTGCAAGAGTCAAATAGAGAGAAAGACCTGGGGGTTGATATCACACCGAACCTGTCCCCAGAGGCCCACATCAAAAGAATATCATCAGCGGCATATGCTAGACTGGCCAACATAAGAACTGCCTTTAGAAACTTGTGTAAGGAATCTTTCAGAACCCTGTATACCACTTATGTCAGACCAATCCTGGAGTCCATACCTAGTTAAACACAAGACAAAGCTAGAGAAGATTCAGCGGTATGCCACCAGGCTCGTCTCGGAACTGAGAGGAATGAGCTAAAGGAGCTGAACCTCACGTCCCTGGAAAACAGAAGAGTAAGGGGAGACATGATAACCACCAACAAAATTCTCAGGGGAATCGACTGGGTGGACAAAGACAAACTCTTCAGCACGGGTGGGACACGAACAAGGGGACACAGGTGGAAACTTAGTGCCCAGATGAGCCACAGAGACGTTAGAAAGAATTTTTTCAGTGTCAGAGTAGTTAGTAAATAGAATGCATTAGGCAGTGATGTGGTGGAGGCTGACTCCATACACAGTTTCAAATGTAGATATGATAGAGCCCAATAGGCTCAGGAACCTGTACACCAGTTGATTGACAGTTGAGAGGCAGGACCAAAGAGCCAAAGGTCAACCCCCGCAAGCACAATTAGGTAAGTACCTAGATGTACGCACTTAGATGAACTCATCTAGATGTAGCCACCTAGATGTACTCACCTAGATGTACTCACCTAGATATACACACCAAGATGTACTCACCTAGATGTACCCACCTAGATGTACTCACATAGATGTACTCACCTAGATGTACTCACCTAGATGTACCCACCTAGATGTACCCACATAGATGTACTCACCTAGATGTACTCACCTAGATGTACACACCTAGATGTACTCACCTAGATGTACACACCAAGATGTACTCACCTAGATGTACTCACATAGATGTATTCACCTAGATGTACCCACCTAGATGTACCCACATAGATGTACTCACCTAGATGTACTCACCTAGATGTACCCACCTAGACGTACTCACCTAGATGTACCAAGCTAGCTGTACTCACCTAGATGTACCCATCTAGATATACTCACCTTCTAGGTGGGTACCTAGATGAGGGAGTTAGTCTCCTACCATCTGTAATTTATTTGTGTCTGTTTTCCATCTGTATCCCTCTTGTTCTGCTGCTCCTGACTTTGAGCAATAGTATTTCCTTTACTTTGTATATTTCCCTTGAAATCTCTCTTCTCTTCTAGTATAGTAAGATCCAGTTAACTCAGACTTTCCTCGTAGCTCGAACCCTTTAGCATATAGGATATGCATAGTGTCCTGTAAGCTGCTTAGTCCAAGTTTCAGAATGATATACCACTTCTTATTGTTTCCTGTATGGCATGTTATATCAGGAAGGTCCTTTTAAGTACTTGTTCCAATTTATTTTGTTTTTGTTCTTCTCGTGGATCCATTGCTTCTCAGTCAATAGGAACAAGAATGAAGTTTCGGGTTATTAGCCATTTTGCTCTTAGTCTACGGGATATGTCTGGCACTCCTTGAAGGATGTGCCAGACATATCTGGCTGACAGGTTAGCTGGCAGGCTAGCTAGTAGGCAGGCTGATAGGCTAGCTGGCAGACAGGTTGGGAAAGCTGGGAGGTGGCCAGAGGGAAGGCAGCCTAGTGGTTAAGAGGTAATCTCAAGGGGGCGGCCTGGTTGTGCCGGAGCCTTGAGTATATCACAGAGGAACTGTTAATCAAAGCAGCCTATAAGCAATATGTCTCAGGAATCCTTTGGGACCCTAAGGATGGGTTGCTGCCCATCGCTCAATTAACTTTAACTAATAAAGAGAGTAAGATCTATATCCGAGTGTTATTTCATCAAGGGTCCAAGAAGACATTTGTGACTGAACAAGTAGCAGATCTTCAATTCAAACCTGTGACCCAGGTTTGTAACCTGTGTGTTCAAACCTACCTGATGGTACAACCTCTTGTACGATTGGGTGGTTATTTCCGTCCAGTACATGCCATTCACCAGCATGACTGAAGATGAGCTTGATCCCCCTGTACATAAATTATGGGATCTGGTCACTTTAGGCATTGTTCCTGAACAACCATGCCTAGATGATGCTAGGACCTATCAACAATATCTGGGTTTAGTAGTCTACAAAGATAACTAATTCTGGGTCTGACTTCTGTGATGCATTAATCACCCACAATTCCCACTAAGTTCATGACACTAAATCAGTTGAGATCTTGGGTGTTGAAATTACAACAAAATCCAGGGCATCTCGAACTGTTTAAATAATAACTTCATCGAAGTCAATCAAAACGATAACCCTAAAAAGGGACACGATTTGCCACACCCTGCAGTACAGAAAGCCTCAACCAACACACCACTGAGAATAGTCTTTAATTGCAGTGCAAAGAAAAAACAAATAATATCGCATGATTGCCTACAAACAGGCCCTAGCCTAACACAGAGGCTATATGATGTTCTGTTAAAATTCCATTTGGTAGTTTATGCATATACCACCGACATTAAGAAGGCCTCCAAGAGGAAGAGGATAGAGACTGTACTAAATTTCTTGGTTAAGGGATTCCAATTATCCCAATAGTGAATGACTTATATATTGATTTTCGTCAGTTTTGTTTGGTGCAACTTCTTCACCCGTACAATGAAATCAAACTACAACCTGGTGATGCTTTTCTGGTGGACAGCGACTACCCTCGCTCAGAGTGGCCTATAGGCTTGTTGTTTCTTTTCCCCCAGAATGCCAGGGAACCTTGAGGATAGCAAGAGTAAAGTGCAAAGGGACTAAATGACTCAAGACACTTGAGAAATTACTAGCATTGGGGTTCACAGGAGAGGAAGTCTTTAAGAGACCTCAAGTTCCCACGACTCCAATATAGGACATACGTCCTGTACATACTGCCCACGTCATGTACATACTGCTGCACGTCCTGTACATACTGCTGCACGTCCTGTACATACTGCCGCACGTCCTGTACATATTGCCGCACGTCCTGTACATACTGCTGCACGTCCTGTACATACTGCCGCACGTCCTGTACATACTGCTGCATGTCCTGTACATACTGCTGCACGTCCTGTACATACTGCTGCACGTCCTGTACATACTGCTGCACGTCCTGTACATACTGCTGCACGTCCTGTACATACTGCCGCACGTCCTGTACATACTGCCGCACGTCCTGTACATACTGCCGCACGTCCTGTACATACTGCTGCACGTCCTGTACATACTGCGGCACGTCCTGTACATACTGCCGCACGTCCTGTACATACTGCCGCACGTCCTGTACATACTGCCGCACGTCCTGTACATACTGCTGCACGTCCTGTACATACTGCGGCACGTCCTGTACATACTGCCGCACGTCCTGTACATACTGCTGCACGTCCTGTGCATACTGCTGCTCGTCCTGTGCATACTGCTGCACGTCCTGTACATACTGCTGCACGTCCTGTACATACTGCTGCACGTCCTGTACATACTGCTGCACGTCCTGTACATACTGCTGCACGTCCTGTACATACTGCTGCACGTCCTGTACATACTGCTGCACGTCCTGTACATACTGCTGCACGTCCTGTACATACTGCCCACGTCCTGTACATACCGCCCACGTCCTGTACATACTGCCCACGTCCTGTACATACTGCCGCACGTCCTGTACATACTGCTGCATGTCCTGTACATACTGCTGCATGTCCTGTACATACTGCTGCACGTCCTGTACATACTGCTGCACGTCCTGTACATACTGCTGCACGTCCTGTACATACTGCCGCACGTCCTGTACATACTGCTGCACGTCCTGTACATACTGCTGCACGTCCTGTACATACTGCTGCATGTCCTGTACATACTGCTGCATGTCCTGTACATACTGCTGCACGTCCTGTACATACTGCTGCACGTACTGTACATACTGCCGCACGTCCTGTACATACTGCTGCACGTCCTGTACATACTGCTGCACGTCCTGTACATACTGCTGCACGTCCTGTACATACTGCTGCACGTCCTGTACACACTGCTGCACGTCCTGTACATACTGCCCACGTCCTGTACATACTGCTGCACGTCCTGTACATACTGCCCACGTCCTGTACATACTGCTGCACGTCCTGTACATACTGCCGCACGTCCTGTACATACTGCCCACGTCCTGTACATACTGCTGCACGTCCTGTACATACTGCTGCACGTCCTGTACACACTGCTGCACGTCCTGTACATACTGCTGCACGTCCTGTACACACTGCTGCACGTCCTGTACATACTGCTGCACGTCCTGTACATACTGCTGCACGTCCTGTACATACTGCTGCACGTCCTGTACACACTGCTGCACGTCCTATACATACTGCCGCACGTCCTGTACATACTGCTGCATGTCCTGTACACACTGCTGCACGTCCTGTACATACTGCCGCACGTCCTGTACATACTGCTGCATGTCCTGTACATACTGCTGCACGTCCTGTACATACTGCCGCACGTCCTGTACATACTGCTGCACGTCCTGTACATACTGCCGCACGTCCTGTACATACTGCTGCACGTCCTGTACATACTGCCCACGTCCTGTACATACTGCCGCACGTCCTGTACATACTGCCGCACGTCCTGTACATACTGCTGCATGTCCTGTACATACTGCTGCACGTCCTGTACATACTGCCGCACGTCCTGTACATACTGCCACACAACAGTGCAATCACATATTAAAGAAATATTATAATAATTGTAATGAGGAGCAATAAAGTGTTAAGTCATTCCTAAACAGTGGACTCCGACTCATGTTTTTCCCCTTCAAAATTATGTGGAAAATTCCACATTTAAATAATTCCACCTTAAATTACATCTAATTACATTTTATTGACAACCTTAAACCAAAAGGATTATGTATAATTATTTTTGATATCTTATGTAGATAAATCTAAGCGATGATGAAATCCCTGTAACATAGTATATGCCATGTCTACACAGTCAACAAATGAATTATTAAAACTAACTATTCTCATTAAATAGTTTTTAAACATAGCTTAGGTGCAATTAATTTATTTAATATTTTATTAAATTATAATTAATAAGATCCTAGAAAGATCTGACTAAATATTCCCTCCTTCCCGAGTTGAAGTAAATATTCAAACGCAGTTGGGGAAGTAGAGAGAAGCAATCTTACCCAGCGAACAGCACAACTGTTCCACTTGAGCAGTAGGTATGAGTTTGTCACTATAATTTGTGTGATTGTGTTGCTGAATTATTACTGCCATAAGTGATCCCGTCGGCTTCTGGGAAGTAATATTTTCTGGTACTCCGTTCTTAGTAGTTGTTGTCCAATACCTCTTGCTAAACCTCTCCACTAAGTGGCATCTGGCACTGAATGATTCCCAATTAAGTTGAGTTGTTGCACTGGACATTGCATTAACCTTTGATAGGCTTTGCATGCAGGACTACTAGCGAAGCTTTAATCATGGTAGTTCAGGTTCCACTTTACTGCTAATTAGGGGATATCTTCAAGAACAGACTCTTAGTGTATTCTTTAATTAAGCAGGATCTGAAACCCTCTAACTTGGTGCCAGTGTACTGCAGGACAGTGTGCTTGGCCCTTTGTTATCGAATGTCTATTTCAATGATCTTCTACACCTCATCCTTGAAGCTCATGACTATGATGACTGCACTCTGACCTTTACATATAAAACAGAATATATATACCAACTGCTATGAGGATCATTTATCGCAACCTTTTAGCACTATCTATCTTTGGAAGGCGATGACAAGTTACAGTTACTGCAAAATAAACACAGGTGATGTTATAACTAGGCAGAATGATACTGAAAATGGGAGAGATATACAAATGAGTGAAAAACCCTAGTGTCCAGTGACGAAATTGACATCTTGACACAGAAGTTTGACTCTTGAATGACCATGAAAAGTCACATGCTTAAGATTATAAGGAAGTCAGACAAGAAACTATCTACCTTAAAGTGAATCTCATAACTTCTTGAAATTTGGGGCTACGAAACCTTATAAATAGTATGCATGGCATCTACGGGACTCCCTGCCTCCCTCGTTTATCAGAATTTTGGAGAGTCTCAGGGCTCAGACTTTCCGATGTAGCATCAATTGTTCCAGCTTCTCCTATCGGCCATTCCTGCATGCCCCATTGGTTTGGATTCTACTCATTCAAATCCCAACCTTAATTTTTCAGCTTGCATTTAACTGCTGTATTTTACCCACCAAATGTTATCGTGTTCTCCACAATACTGTGCTAAACCCTGTAACATAGTTTTTCCTCAGCTCTTCCTCAATGGTTCTGAAACTCTTCTCCAATGTTTTATATTTATCCTCAAACCTCACAATTACTTCCTCTGCTGTCATCTTTCATTTGAGTTATCATTTCATTCTAACTTTTGACCGAGTTCTCCCTTGGTTTTTAAAGCTCCATCATGTCTTCTTGCTCCCATGAAATTCGAATTTTTGCTCTCTCTATTGCCTTTTCTGCGTTATTCTCCTTTACTGTTCCCTTATAAAATACTTTCTACCCATAATGTATTTTCTCTTCTCAGTCATGGTGTCGAGGATGCAGGGATAAATATGTTGGAGACAGATCGTGGGTGAGTGAGCAAATTGTAATACAGAGATAGAAAGATGTAGAAACTGTTTGACAGTGATAAAGAGTGAGCGGAAGTGATAGATGATGTTTGTGTACTCACCTATTTGTGCCTGCAAAATCGAGCTCTGGTCTCGGACGCCTGCCTTTCTAGCCGTTGCTGTGTGTGTATATGTGAGTCTGTGAATTTATTATTTGTATTTACTACTTATGCCTGAAGGATCGAGCTGTTAGCTCTTGGACCCTGCTTATCTAACTGATGGTTGTCTATTCTGCTGACTGTTACGGACCCGAGCCCAACGTCCGAGCACGGAGCAGTGACGACCACGCCATCTGTGGGTCAGCTTCCGAAACCCCCTCCAAATGGACGGCGCCATCGAGTGAGGACAGGAAATACCAGCCACAAGGGCTAGTTTCCCGTCCTGATCAGCTCATAACACAGCCGCTGCTGACCTCTGGTGAGATAGAGCTTAGACAGCAACGCCATCTATGGAGTGGATAGGTGGGCGTTTGTGTCTAAGCCTCTAAGTGAGGTGCCCTAGAGTGTCCCTATTACTGATGACGTGTCTGATTACAGAGTCGACCTGGGACTGCTGTAATGGAAGTTGGATCAGTCTACCCAAGGCAGCCGTCTCGTCTCCAAGTATTTGCTGCAGCAGCTGTGAGTCGCCCCCCGGATGAACACTGTGGTGTTAGCCTGCCTGTGAAGTGGCAGTTGAGGGATTGTTATACCCGGGATTGACTGGTGGAGACGCTTAACCACTGGGGTGTTGTGGAAAGGAGAGTGACCTGTGGGATCACACAAGGCTCCTGACTAGGGCTCGCGACCTTAGTATCGATCGTGGAGTGGCCTTACCATCGCTGCTGATTGGAACCTGCCAGCTACCGGCTGGATTTGTGGTTGACGGCCTCCACGACGGTGCCCCCAGTGGAACTGTGATTTGGCTGGCCTGTGGCCAGGGTAGACTCAAGAGAATCGAAGGATTCATCGTAAGGCCACAAGAGGACTAAGAGCTTAGCCTCGTCGAGCACCGTGGAACACTCCGCGTCTTCAGAGAAAGACTACGTTGTAAATAATAGTGTTTAACCCCCCCCCCCCTGTGTAACCTTTTATATATTATTTATGGTGACGGTAATAATTATATTATTAAGTTTTTGCCTTTATTTCCCTTCCCCTTTAATTTACTTGCGTTACGGATCACATCCCTTGAAAGCCACTACTGGCTTGGGGCCGGATACCCTTCCTCTAACAACATCAGAGAAAGAACCCGGTTGCGACCTAAGAGGGCCGTAACATAATTGGCATCCCCAGCGGGATCCGACCCCTTGTCAAGTATGTTTGACAGGGGTGGTGAAGTGGCGTAATCCCTGTAAATAATTCCCCCTGTGTGACTATTAGGACGTTATACGTCCTGTGCGGTGCTCGGAGTGACTAAGTGCAATATTGTGCAGTGCGGTGCTCGCTGTCATTAAGTGCAATATTGTGTAGTGCGGTGCCCGATGTAATTAGGTGCAATATTGGCAAGTGCAGTGTTTGGTGCGATAAAGTGCAATATTGACGTAGAACAGTGCTCGGTGCGTTAAGTGCTAAAGTGAAGCAGTGTGTTAAGTGCTAGTGTACCAAGTGACAATGGCGGAAAAAGCGACCATAGACGATCTGGACGATGTTCAGGCTTTTCTGAACAGGGAGGACTGTCTTGCCAGATTGAAATATCTGGGCAAACAGGAACTCGTACTGGTGAGTGCCTACCTGGAGATCAAGATCCGTGCCAGTGATTCCCGTGTGGAGATCTTGTCCAAGGTTCACCGGCATTTGAAGGCCGATGAGAAACAGGAAAGTGAGGCACATGGTACAAAAGAAAGTGAAGAAGTAGCTTCCACTGAAAAGGAAGATAAAGGCAGTGACATTGACAGCGATGCAGGTGAGCTGAATATTAGTTTACTTACAGTAAAAATGCGTGCCTTAGAGATAAATCGCGAGATAGAATGGAAGAAGTTAGAATTAGAACGAGAATTAAAAGACAAAGAAATGGCGATGAGGCGTTTAGAATTAGAAGAAAGGAAAGAAGAGCGAGAGAGAGAAAGAGAAAGAGAAAGAGAAGAGCGAGAAAGAGAAGAGAAACGAGAAAGAGAAGAGCGAGAAAGAGAAGAGAAACGAGAAAGAGAAGAGCGAGAAAGAGAAGAGAAACGAGAAAGAGAAGAACGAGAAAGAGAAAGAGAAGAACGAGACAGGCACGAACGACGAGACAGAGAGGAAAGAGAGAGACAACATGAGCTAGAAGTATTGCGGTTTGGCGGTGGTCGGAGGCAAACGACGGACACAAGTCTTTTCGATCCGGTAAGAACATCAAAATGGTCCCGAAGTTCAACGAGAAGGAAGTTTCGAAGTTCTTCGCAGCCTTCGAGAAAGTCGCTGCCTCTTTGGAGTGGCCAAGGGAGAATTGGGCCATCATGATACAGTCAGTCTTGACTGGGAAGGCCCAAATCGCCTACTCCACGTTGTCCCTTGACGACTC